ATCGGAAGCTATGCCTACATCAGCTGACTGTTTAACATTGTTACCTTGAATAATGCTAATATTAACATCACTGGAATGCAGTAATGATTTCATTTGTAATTTTTGTTGTGGTAGTGAGCCTGATGAAAATTTTATACTGTATAAAACATGTTTTTTGGAATAAACCGATTATTATTACTTTTGTGTTTACACCTATAAGGAAAGTGATACTTCTTCAGTCAACGGAAAACATTTTTTAAGGAATCTAGAAATGTATAGAAGTAACAATAACTACAGAAGGCATTCATTAATCATCTTGAGTATGTTATTCACATCCATTTGATGATATGAAAGACAAACAACAGTACAAGTTAAATCCAATAATAAATGCCGTCTAGAAATGAAGTCTAATGGGTGCATTTCATCCTATTCTAGACTCATCGGCCGAACGTACCTGATTCCCATTGAGGCTGGATGAGATCATCCATCTTTTCATGTGGTACAGGTTTATCCCTTGGGCAACTGAGTTACAGTAGTCATTCGTTGTGTTTTGATCAGAGATTGATGTTATCACTTAGAGTCTCTTGTCTTTGACTGAACCGAAAAAATCTGCGATAATTGGCATATGAACCTGATGTAATGAGTAATTTTTAGTTTGTTACTTATGATGAACTGTGGCTAATAGGGGAGTCAAGGGAATGCACTTCGGGCTGGAATCCATCATGGACTGACACCAGTTGGAGGAACACTGGGAAATTGGGAGCAATGGACAGTTGTTTCGTCCTAGTATAAGACTCCTCAACAGTGCACAACAATGGTCTTACCCTGGCACGGATAGGACCCATGACCTTCAGGTTCCGTGGCCACCATGTTACCATTGAACCAGATTGAATCAGTCAACCACCCACTGGTGAATAGCCTTGAGATATGATTCCTGAAGCTCCAATGTGAAGTCATGACCAGTGGAGTCAACCAAGTAGAACATGAGGACAGTTACTCAATGACGACGTTGGATGTAGGTAGGGCTATATTGTGAACTGACAGAAATAGGAAATATGGACCATTGGATTCCGATCCAGTGGCTCAATGGTAACGTGTTGGTGACGGAACCTGAAGGTCCTGGGTTCGATACCTGATGGAGTAGGGTCATGGGTGCTCACTGCCCTCAGGAGTCCTATACCAGGACGAAACGCCTGTAAACTGCTCTCAGGTTTCCAATGTTCCTCCAACTGATATCAGTTTATGATGAATTTCAACCTAAGATCAATTAATAGATCTCTACATGCCCGTAAATGGAATACATTTCGTTCTATTTAAGGTCTCATCAGGCAGATACACTTATCATCCAGTGATCTTATCCAAAATTTCACCTTTTTTGAAACAACAATGGTGGTATACATTTTTTACCAGACACGTCATTCACAATTAAAGTTTGTATTCAAGTTTATGGGATTTTTCAGTTGCCTTCTTCTTAGGAAAAACAAGAACCTACATTTTAGTAAGATTATCTATTACTTTCTGATGTAAACAATAACTGTGTTTGCAGTAATTAACTGAAACAAGTGCACGCATACAAACAAACACTTGGAATACTACACTACAACACAAACGTTTGGCTATGGATACATGGACATGGAGGGTAGGAAAGCGATAACACAAATCGCCGTATTTTATTTCGCTATGCACATCATGACGTCGCTGGTGTTGATGACGATGATTCAGGCAAGTGAAACAGGTGCTTTGATTTTATTTCTTGACTAATGATAGACAAAGAGTATGCTGCATATACAGAGAAAATGAAAGTTTATTCTATGGATTTGTGCATGTAGGCGTGTTTGTGTATATCAGTTGATTAGTGAAAGCAGAAATAGATAATAAAGGGAATGTAAGCGTATGACAAAATAAGGGAGGTGGCTAAGGACAATAGACCTAACTATCTAGACAACTGAGGTGTATTACAGACACATAGTTCCACATTCATTCTGTTTCACAACTAATCGTAATAATAATAGTAATAGTAATCGTTAAGATACTTCCGTTCTTATTTAAAAAGTACTTCATAATACTATCATTGTTATTATTATTACTACTGGTATTACTAACATGCCTTCATAGCTGGATGTTTGGATTATCGTGAGTAATCATCAGTTTCATCTATGCACAATACTATACCGTACCACACCTCAACCCAAGCTCTTATCACTTTCATTCTACTAGCTTATTCCACGAATATAAAAGTGATCAAATGATAGGAGCAGTAAGTTTATTCGACACTAGGTGATAATTGAAGGTGGTAAGATTCGAACCAGTGACCTTCGGGAAACTAATGCCTTACTTTAAAAACTCAGTTACAAGACACAGCTGCTGACCATCATTTATTTACTATTTAAGTGAAAAGTAGAGGATTGTGAACGTTGTACATCGAATGCCCTTCTTGGTACAAGGATTTAACCGACATGTCTCACCACACTGTATTTATACATCATCAGCATGAAAATGGTCCTGCGATCTATACATTTCACATAGGTGAACATGCCGTCCATCTCAGCTTGGTATTTCACATATATGGGGATATCTGGTAATGATTCCACAGGTGCACATACAAAAATCTAGCTGTGACTTTTATTTCCTCTAACTAGTCAGATTAGATCGTCTTCTTGGTATCAGTTGGGCAGCAGAGCCATTTCAGTGATACCCTTCAGCCAGTAGTAAGGATGGAGGTGTGTACCAAGGGAAGTAATCAGCATGATTTTGTGACTTGCACTTACCAGGGATTTTTTGTTCACGGCAAATATTTTCAATACCTGGTCTCATTCACAAAGGTGATGAAACAGTTTGCCCAACGTTTTCAAGCCAGTTTTTCAGACTGGTCTGGACTCGTGGCGTCGGACATCTGAGGGCATCGCACACCTGTTATCGCTTAAGTGTACCGCTTGTCCCTCAGTCATCACCCAGTATCAACATACAAACTATATGGGAGAGTGAATTAGACGCTGTTTAGGTAATGACATATATATATATATATATATATATATATATATATATATATGCATAAGAACATGCACGCATATATACACTTATTGCACCTGTATAAACCAGGGACAGGGATAAATGGGAAAAACAAAGTATCACACACTATCATTGCCATCACCATCAGCGAAAGCAGATCAAAATTCTTACTCATTGAATATCTGAAAGGTCAATCAGTGAAAAATTTCTATATCAACTTTTCTGACTACTGTTTTTCTACTAAGACTATCTCGTTATTTCTTCTACCAAATCTTTGCTCTCTATTTGAAGTCTTTTGTCGTATCAGTTAGTAAGTTGGTTGGTTAGTTAATTAGTTAGTTAGTTAAGTAGTTATTCATTTATTTATCTAGTTAGTTATTTAGTTGTTGAGTTAGTTGGTTAGTTAGTAAATTAGTTAATTAATTATTTGTTTATTTAGTTAGTTATTTAGGTAGTTGGTTATTTAGTTAATTAGCTGTTTAGTTTGTTAGTTAGTTAATTAGTTGGTAAGTCGATTAGTCAGTTATTTATTTAGTTATTTAGTTAGCTAGTTAAGTAGTTATTTAATTAATTAGTTATTTATTTGTTTAGTTGGTTATTTATTTATTTATTTAGTTGGTTATTTAGTTAACTAGTTAGTTAGTTGTTTAGTTGGTTGGTTATTTAGTTAGTTAGTTAGTTATGTAGTTAGCTGTGTAGCTGATCAGTTAATTAGTTAGTTAACTAGTGAATTGATTTTTATTTTCGTGGTTTACTAGTCACAATGATTGTAATCATAATGATAGTGATATTTTTGAAAAAATGTTGTTCAAACTTAGCATAATTTATTCTTGACACAAAGTGAGTAGTTTATTTTATTTGTTGTAGACGAATATGCACGTTGAATCCATTGGACTGTATTGACAATAGATGAGTGATTTGAATTATCATATACCTAACAGTCAGTTCCTTTCTGGAGATGAATACTGAGAGAGGAGGGGGTGAGTGGCTTTACGATTTTGATTATATATTTATGATAGATTTCAATTGTTTTTGAATATTCAACAGTCTGTCAGGTTTTTTTTCACATGTCATGTTTATTTGTCAAGTATGTCAGAAAAGAAGTATAGATTTAGTAAACCCTTATGCTATATTACTTGAAGAGGTTGAAGTTTCATTGTGAAAATTATCGACTTGATATGGTTGTTGAGCTTGTGAGATATCATTTTAAGTTGAAAGTTTATGTGGATTTACTTATTGATTTCACGTTGGTAGTCTTCATGGATTGGTATTGATTGGAGAACCACTGGAATCCCAGGAGTACTGGACAGCTGTTTCGTCCTAGTATGGGACTTCTCAGCAGTGTACACTCATGACCCCACCCCGCCAGGGATTGAACCCGGAATCTTCAGGTTCTGTGGCCAGCACGTCACTACTGAGCTACTGGTGCATACTTCTTATTTCTATCAGTTCATGATATGGCGTGACCTCTATTCAATCTCGTCGTCCGACTTGGTTTGCCCCACTGGTCACGACTTATTAAAAGTTCGGGAATCTGATCTCGAGATAACAGATGTGTAAATTACGATCAACAAAAACTCCAGTGATACTTAACAGAATGTCCAACAATTAGTATCTCCCACTTAGTAGATTCTGTCTGCTAACCACTGACCTTAGAAATGATACTCTCATTTCATAGTACGTCTGTCATTTTCTAAGAAAGATATTCCATTTAATTATTTTGAGCTAAAATGTTATTAGGATATAAAGTTATCAGTAGTGAGTGAAGTGCTCGATGGGAACACCATTGTCCATAAGATATCGATAAATTATGCTGATGAGATCTTAAATAGCGTTAATTTCCCTCCTTAGGCTTCACGGTCAGTCAGTGACAGTAGCAAGTTATTAGCATGAGTTAATAGGCGCTAACTCAATCACCAACCACAGTTGATACTTATTTCTCTACACGCAGTCACTGAGATGATAAAATTATAACATAATAATTCCATTTAAAGAAAGTCATAAGTACTCACCTCTAACATTTGCTGGAAACTGACTATGAGAGAATTTTCCGCTTATCGTAGTTGTTGTCGTTGTCATTTGTAGTTGCGATATTGTAGTTGAGGGTACATTGTTCAACTTCTTGTCATTAAATAATCCTCCAGAATCGTTAGAGCTTACAGAACCCATTACAGACGGTTCCATTCTTGTTCCCATTCTCGGCAGTCTAGTTGATGGGTTACTGGTATTATTGTTGTTATTATTATTATCTTTTGTATAAACTAAAGGGGATCCATTCGAGATTCCTTCGTTTGATTTACTGATTAAACCTTTTTTGCTGTACATATCACTCACATTAGAATGACAACAATTTTCAGTCTGTTGGTTGGACGTTCTTGCTTGTACTGGTGGAGTGATTGCTGCTGCTGTTGTGACTGTCGCCACTGATGCTGACATTGGTGACACTGTCGTTTGTGGGATTGACTGGTGCTGGATAGAGTTATTTTCTTCACATTCACCTGGATGCAGTTCATCTGAATAATGAGGCATGGGGAAAGGATATTGCATACAATTATCTATCCTATTAAAATGCAGTTTAGCTTGTACTAATTGTCTACAATGTACTGCAAGTGATTGCATTAAACGTCCAAGTTGTACAAGTTCTTGATCGATTGGATCAATGGGATCTGAGTAGTCAGCGAATACATCAGATGGATTGATGACTGATTTATCCAATGGTGTAGTTGTCATTGTTGTCTGTGATAGCGAATTATCACATAGAATTGGATTTAGCTTATCACTATCACAGAATTTCAACTGTGAGCATGTAGATTTGGTCATTTGTGTTAATTCAGATATAAGATTGTCTTGCTGATGTTGTCGCTGCTGGCGTCTTTGTTGTTGCTGCTGTTGGCTATCATTTTCAATCTCCTATTTTAAAGAAATAAGTTAAAACAGAAATACATTAGAGAAGGTCTATAGCTGACGGTGAGGATGATCACTCTTTTCTGTTTGTCACGCCTTGTTCTTGGACATTATTTCAGCAGGTTGGGTGACTTCATGAGCACTAATGTCCGTATCAAGAATTCTCCAGAAACACCTTTTTGAATCATAATAGTGTCATCTGGTGTGCTAATTGTAAAATATATATTACGTGATAGGTACTTGGTTCGAGTTTGACTGGGAATAACATCACTCACTAGGATACAGGTACATCCAGATGAAGAGCCGTAATTAAGACGAAACGCACGTCATGTATTTCTCTGATAGACTACTAAATACATTAAACCTGATGTAGAAGGCATGCTGTGATAATTGGTTACTAGTTTTAATATATTTGTCGTACACATTAGGTACGTAATGGGATTATAAAATGTTGATGAGGAATGGGAGTTCAAAACAGTAATTATTATAGATTTGTATAGAATGAAAAACTGCCTATTTTAACCGAGAGAATTGAGACTTTTTAACACATACTTCAAAAGTTTGAAAATTTGTCTTGAATCATATGGAAGGCTTTGTTACTGAAGCATCCAAGTAGGAAGAGATTAAATCTGGAAAATTTTCATTAAAACTGAAAGTAATTAAGCCCTATATTGCAAAGATATCGGTAGGTTAATTGTTGTATTACACTAGGTTAATTGCACTCGTGATGGGCCAATACTGATATGTTTCTTTCAGATACTCTCAACCACCGTTTAAAGGTGTACTTATGCAGTAATTTGTTGAAACGATTAAAATTCAATGGTCATGTGTAACTTAGACGAAAATTCCCAGTGGCTTACTCTAACGGAAATAAGTTCTAAGACTATCAGGTATAAATATTTATCTATTCTTGATATTTCAATTTATTCATTTTACTGGGTTGATATAATTGATGTATCTATGTAATTTGAAACATTTAGTCCCTTCTATAAATTTTATATGGTGTTATTAGAAGATGAAGTTCATCTGAATAATGTGATGTATTTGCGTAATTCATTTCGAACAGTCTGATCACACATTTATTTGTCAAGTCAATTTATATTCAGCCGAAGAGTGAGGACAAATTTAACAATTAAGATAACAGAAGTACAAAATTAAGAAAGATGAGAATAAAAAAGTCAGTCAACAGAAAAGGACAAGTCAGGACTGAAAAACTACAATTTTAAACAAGTAGCAAGTAGTAATGGTAATGGAGTAACTTGGTGCATAATAATGTCGAGTTTTAAGCAATGAATTGTATGTTTGAGTCACTTTGGAGTCAAGATTAGTCGCTGATTTTCATACAGCTACACTTAACCAACAAACCTTAAATAGGTCAAAATGAGTATCCTAGCTACTACTGTTAACTGGGAGGAAATAACAAAAAGTAGGATTTACTGAAGATTAACAGCGGTATAAAAATTGAAATAATAATTCATTTGCGATGTGAAGTCTAGAATGCGTGCTTCATACTTTTTCGGATGCATCAACTGAATGTACATTCTTCCTATTGAGATGATTTTTTTTGCCCAGTGTGAGTCTGGAATCCAAAACTCACCCTTCCAACCACCACAGTGTTGTCTATCAGTCTATTGAATTACAACAACCACTTATTGTGCAACAGCTATAGTTTGATGTTAATAATTGAATTCAGTGAGAATACCATTTGATGTGAATGACCACTTTACTGCTAGACTGAAGCTGATTTATAAACTAGTTTCACTAGTGAAAGTACTACTAAGAAATACAATTTTAATCTGTAAATGTCGCAGAAACTAAGGATTCAAGTCTTATACGTAGGTAGTCATCTCGCTTTTACTCAGGGCCAGGCAAAGTTATCAAGTATCGGTACGAAGTCATAGTTCTTATCTAGCTCAGACATTACTGACATGGGTAAGCAGCTAAGAAGGGTTTCTGATATATGTCAAATAGATGTCCCTTCCAACAAAGATCCCTCCAGCTGAAATTTTTCTCTGAGCAAAAAGTTAATAACTTCTTTTAGTCCAACTAAGTAATGTTATACAAAAGTATCTGGCACCAAAAGTCTTTAATTCAACGAAAACTTTCATTAAAAAATTCGTGCAAGCTAAAGTTTTTAAAAAAAACATATTGGTTCTAGGTTTAAAATGAGTTGAAATTTTACTTTTTCATTCACCTTTCAAGAAGATGGGATACGAATAACTACTACTCATAATACTAACGATATTACTAGTATAATTAATTGTAAAGATCAGACACGTTTGCGTAATAAGAGAGGAAATAGTGTTAAATAAAGAGAGAATAAAACACTTTATATTGAGATCCTCTTGTTAGCGAACTAACTACCATTATTAATGTAATGGAAGTCAACAGTTTCTACAGTAGATAGGAATGTGGGGATGCGTATATGTCTGTTCCAGAACTGCAATAAACTACAAACTGACATTCATTTAGACAAAGTGAATATTCTGTGTTTTATCGTCTAATTAATTCATTTCATTAATTATTCCGTTGCCTAATGTCGCACAAACTCGAAGATCTATAGGGGAAAACTAACAAGTTGGCAGAAGAAGCAGGACAGCGAAGGAAGATGGAACTTCAGGTGAACGTAGAGAAGACATAGGTGATGAAGGTATCCAACCACCACCAGCAACAACAAGCACCAGTCACCATCAAAAGGAGAAATCTATGCTCAGTTGTCTCCTTCACCTACCTACCTACCTAGACTGCATTGTTTCAATTACAGGTGGCGGTGACAGCACAGATGAGGACGCCAAAGTGAGGATCGAAAAAGTAAGCGAGGCAGGCCTTCATTAACCTCAAATCAGTGTAGAGATCTACTGCACTGCACGGCACTCAGCACAAAGCGCGAACAAGATCCGGATTTTCAAGACCAACATCAAGTCAAGTCAGTGCTTCTATGTGATGTTTGAGAGACTTGGCGCGCCGCGAAAAGCATTTTCAACAAACTACAGACATTCATCAAAAGCTGCCACCTACTCTCACTCGATACTGACATTGAAGATCAGATGGCAAGAATAATGAGAATAAGCAACAAAGGACTCTGGCCTGCCAACGAACCAACCAAGAACTCATCGCCCAACAAAAATGCAGAAGAAAGTGGAGATGGGTTGGATTGGATATACACTGAGAAGACCGTTTGGGGACATCACACGCCTGGCCAGGTCGTCGAGTGGAACCCAAATAGTAAACGACGAGTTGGGCTTGCGAGGCAACGGTGACATGGAGGCGATAGTATGAAGAAGAAAAAAAGCTTCTAAGCAGGTTGAAAAGACTCAAAGAGGAGAGTGCAGTGGAGATGTGCTACTGAAGCCCTATGTTACATTAGGAAAGCATGAGACAAATAATAAATAATAAAAATAGTTATTATTCTGTTACTCGCGATGAAAAGTAATAACAAATATGAACTTTCAGTTTGGAGGTTTGTGGGATGTATTTATTGATTTCAAATTGATATTCACCATGAGTGAAATCATCTGGAGAGCTATTGTAAACTTCAGGCACTAGACAGCTGTTTCATCCCAGTATGGGACTCCCCAGAAGTACTCACTCACGACTCCATCAAGCTAGAAATCGAAACTGAAGGTCCCGGATTCTATTCCTGATAGAGTTATGGGTGCGTTCTGATGAAGAATCCCATACTGGACGAAACAGTTGCCTTGTGCCCCCCGAGTTTTCAGTAGCTGTACAAATAGTGTCAGTCCATGATAAAGATCAATTTGAAAAGTGAACTTTAATAAATATGGTGTAGTAAACAAACCACCGTTTTTAGCTTTTTGGTGTTAATTGAGGTCTAATTGTCTAAAAGTATTTTTAGATGATCAGAAAGAAAGTATTCATCACAAAAGTTACATTCTTGCTGCTATTCAGCGTCAAGAGAGAAGAGTTGTCAACTTGAAGCAAACAACTCATACTTTTTTATGCGTCCCAACAAGGTAAACTTTTAGCTCTATACAAAACGAGATTTCCCATAAATTGGTCTTTCAAGGTATCCTCTATCTCAAGAATGAAATAAACTGGAGAAACAGGATGCTTATGGGTAAAGTGTATTTTTTAAAATAAAATAAATCTCTTTTAAAAATAATTGTTGACAGAAAATTTTCTAGAAATATCATCGTAAACTTATAATTTATAATAATCCACACAGATTATTTCAAAATTATTGTGAATACAAACCTGTTCTGAGCTTTCTTCTGTGCGTACGCTTTCATCAGTTGTTCTGCCCATACCAGAATCTTGATCTGGACGTTTATATACCTTACAAGATGTGAACGAAAGAACAGAAGAAAGAAAACAATTAAATATATGTGCTCATAAAATCGTCTATTATTTTGATAGATAGATCAGTGGGACATTTTAACCACTGAAATGTTGTTCAATGATAGGATACACTAGTTAGTTGAGAATGAAGATAACCACTTTGGAAATGTTGGGATATTTCATCTCTTCGAATATTATAGAAAGCATGAAATGAAAGTCGTCTAGTGCACTTGTGTCAGAATGTTGTTTGAGGACTGCTGATTATATTTCACTTCTAATAGCTTATCAGTTTCTCAGTAATACAACCAGAGTGTACGCAAGTCTTCAGTTGAAATCATTCAGCCTAGTTGTATTGATGACTTAATGGTAGGTCCATTAAGTTCTAAATAATATTACATCTGGAACAACAAATTACACTGTGATATATGATACATGTAACTGGATTGAGTTTGATGGCTACAATTTGCCTATGATAATGACGACAATACTGTAGATGGTCTGCTCTAGATATGTTGACAGTTACAAGTTCGAATCCTATCACAGTCCAAATTTTTCACTACACCTTCAGTCATACAGTATAAAGATAAAATAAACTTTAGGCTTTGAAACCTTATCACTCTTTTACATAATAATTTCAGCATCAGAACTTCACATTTCATGCTCCATGTGCATTCATTATTTCATCTTTTAAAAAAAAATATGCTATGAAAGTGAATAGAATATTATGGGAAAAACTGTGTAAAATTATAAATTAGATAGGGTTTACCACCTTCCTAAAAGTTAATCTAGTGATAAATGTGTTTCTGAGGAGTTTCACATGTTTTCATCTACACTGAATGTATATATTTGCGCTCTCATTTTATGGTCATCTTTATCCAACTGACTAATTTTGACCAAACTACTTGTAGGTTGAAATTCATCATGGATTGACGTCAGTTAGAGGAATATTGGCAACTGGGAGCACTGGACAGCTGTTTGATCCCACTTATATTGGACTCTTCAGCAGGACTTTTAGGCTCTGTGGCCAGCACGATACAATTAAGCCACTGGGTCAGAATCTAACAGTCCATAGTTCCTACCACAATCAGTTCACGATATAGCGGAACTTCCGTCTAATGTCGTAGTTGAGTAACTCTCCCCACGTTCGCTGTATCGTGAACTGACAGAAGTCGGAAATATGGACCACTGAGTTTTGACCCACTGGTTCACTGTTAACTTGTTGGCCACGAAACCTGAGAGTCCTGGGTTCTACCCTTGAAGGGGCGGAATCAAGGATACGCACTGGGTTAAGGAGACCATACTAGGAAGAAACAGCTGTCCAGCACTTCCAGGTTTCTGATGTTTATCCAACTGATGTCAGTCCATGATGGGTATCAACCTGAAATCAATTAATAAATTTCCACGAACCTCTACATTAAACGACTTGTAGTTTAAAGAGACAGATTTGATTTACGCTGCTAACTAAAGTGTTTATTGAGTGAACAGTGAAATATGGCCAGTGACAGTACATCTTGAAGCTTTACGATCAAGGTTCTCCATATTTAGACTTCACGTTTTCAAAGCTTTAATTAGCAGTGGTGAGTTTACAACCAAAAATCTTTCTTCCAACTCAGAATCACACAGATAATACTAACATAGGAGGAGGCATTACTGCGTAATAGTCCAAGTTGCCACACCTCATGTTAGCATATCAAGTAGCGAAACAATATGATGAAAGATTGAGATATCGAGAAAGCCGTCAAAAAGGGTAATAACTCGCAAAGAGATAACAGGAAGGAATGAGACAGTAGAGAAATATGAGGATGCATCTGCACCACTGACATCAATTCGAAACCACATCAAACACAGTCTCTAACCACTACTGGTTTCTTTTCTTACATGGACCCTAACCAGCATGCATACATTCTCCTACACGACTCAGATTAACAGTTAGAAAGACTGCATGCACTGTCACCATGTTTTAGTCTCACCACTCCTACCCATTTTCCATTCTTAAACTACTTCAGCTAACATTGTGTGATGAGGAATACGGTGACTAGATATGCTTCACACATGCCACAGCCACCTGAGTCGATGAAGGTTGACAATTCCACTCAATGACTTTCATCTCCTCTATGACACACTTCATTTGACTTCTTCATTACTGACGATGAGACATGCATGGCTTATGCTATGAGAGTGGTGGTGGGCGAGCACCTGAAGCCTTCTCGGGTTGTTTTCCTTGAATGGTTATATTTCATAGCTGTATAATAGAAGAGAGCAGGCTGTAGGACAGTATAGTCGATCTTGAATAAGTGGTCTAAAATGCTGATGGTGTCATAGATGGGGAAAGTTTATTGAGGATATTTTATCCATGCAGATGACTCACTCGGGCTAATCTGTCTTCTCATTTGGGTAGGGTTGTAAAGAGGCTGGACCACTTGACTGTCTATTGTTAATCGGGGCATCAGTCATGGAGTAACAATTTGCATTTGGGTGGCGAGAAATGTATCCTAGAAATCCTCAAATTGCCGTTTGGGGTGAAAAGAGGACTCTACATGCTGTCAGTATCTTCACGTAACAGAATTATGTTATGTGCCTACTGTGGAGCCTAACTCACTAACCATAGTTTGATTCATGTAAGTGCCTGCAATACACGAATAAAGGTCAACATTATCTACGGTGGAATAACTCCGATTTATTCATGTAAGAAAAGAAAAAAGCAATCAAGTCGGTTTTTGTGTTACCGACAAGATGAAACAAGAATTCACACACACACACACACAATAGAGTTAATTGGAGATTCAAAGTCTGATAATCTATTTGTAGTCATAACTTATAAGTTGGCTAACATCTACTAGCATAAAAATACTTTGTAAACAATTTATCCTCCATTCCTTTGATTAGATTCACTGAATTCAGACAAATGACCCATATATGTTAACAAAAGAAGATGTCTAGAGAATGATTGACCCAATTTGATTACTGAAGATTCATACGGTTATGAGGAAAGATCAGAGATATATCATATGTGATATGTGAGAAATTATCTACCAAGTTTTACTGATTTGAAAACATTCACACGTCTACGGAGCAGTAACACACCAATACGTATATACGAAGACACTGGAAAACTTAAAGGTGATGCGTAAACATTGAAAGGGTTTATCGGAACAAGAAGAAAACAAATCACTACCAAGCTTATTATATAGCCTTGTTCAATATCTTATTCAACGTTTTTAATAGTGATTCATTTTATGTATACAGTTATTGAAATAAGTTAAATCTACAAAACTGTATATTCCTGTGGAACTGTTGGACTTTGTAAGCCGTCCCTGTAAAAACACGTTGTAGAACTCTACTCAGTTGGGTTTACCAAGCTGACGAAGAAATACAACGTCATCGATACGTGAACCCCCTAATGGAGTCTACTCAGCTCCTCGAGATAAATCGTTTAAGGTAGTTTAGGTAGTTATATTGATCTTAATACCTAACAGAGGAAACCAGGGTGCGCGTCCCGTCCTATTTGGGACTTGTCAGCTAGATGTACCTGCACCCCAGTGAGTGTTGTCCATCACTAAGCTAGGAGGCTCATCGTCGTGGTGCACTTTGGTGGATGTTAGTTAGTTGGAGGCAATCGGCAGGAAGCCCTGAACTTAGGTTTCGTGCTTTTTGGCATTCTTCAACAAGGCGTATCTGCAACTTCTAGGGAACTGATATCTCTTGTGGTGTTCGAACCCATATCCCCTAGTGTTGCAGTCAGCGACGTTACCACTGATGTACTTCAGCCGAGACTGACCTTCTGTAGTACTGGATTACATACATCGGTTAGTGACTGGGGGTAACCAGTTTTATGTTATCTAGTCATATCATATCGATCATTTTGGAATGTGGTCACCAAAGCGAGAGGCTCAACTTGGAGGTGCTATTTGATATATGATAATTCGTTGGAGGAATCAACTCCCTCGAGGTTGTAGATACGCCTTGCTAATGAGTGCCAACAGGCACGAAACCTAAGTCAAACAGGGCTTTCTGCCAATTGCCGTCAACCAAATATCGTGAATTGAATCTATCACATTAGCAGAGTGATCTTAAGATAAATGACTCAACATAGTAGTGCACCGTTTTTACTGTTAAATAGATGAAAATAGTAGGCATAAAAACTATAGACAAGAATTCTCCAATCTAATAATGTCATATTAATCAATAACAAATTCTTGATCATAAGCTTCTGGTCAAACTCAGTGTCACTATAAGCTGAACATACAAATACTGACTTGAGTTCACTGATATATGTATAAAACTTGGACATTGTAGTAGGAGGTAATTTCATATTAGATTTGTTTATTTGATTTATAACACAGTGATATAGTATTATCTACTTCATGACGTTTCAAGCATAAATTATTGCTCATAATCATATCACTGTGATATTTATGCTTAAAACGTCATCAAGTAGATAAAACTGTATCACTGTGCGATTTATATCAAATAAACAAATCTAATATGGAGTTCATTTCACTGAGTTTTGGCATGATGAACATTCTAATCCATTGAAAATTCAGGTAACTGACTTTAAAATGAAAACAGTTGCATTAGGATTTGAGCAAGTTAAGTGTGAGGTGGGATAGTTACCGGTTAAACTGAACGATGGTTTTAATAATCAGGTACTGACAAAAATTCGATAGTTTAGATTATTTCGTTTTAAATTATTATTATTTATTATTTGTCCCTTGGGTTCCTAGTGGAACATAGGGCATCAGTAGCACGTCAACATTTCACTCTGTTCTCTGAAGTCTTTTCAACCTAGCTCCACGACTGCCCAGAAGCTCTCATTTCTTCCTCATACCATCTCCTCCATGTCATCGTTGCCCCAGACGCCCAGCTCCTCGTTTCCCATTTGGGTTCCACTCGACGGCCTGGTCTGGCCTGGCACGTGATGTCCCCAGTCGGTCTTTTCAGTGTATGCCGAATTCATCTCCACTCTCTTCTGCATATTTGTTGAGCGATAAGCATTT